ATCTAAGCGCTTTCGGCTATTCTATTAGCAAAGATGTTTTTATTTTATTTTAACTGAATATATATATATATATATATATATATATATATATATATATATATATATATATATATATGAGAAGATTTTTTTATTTTTCAAATACGGTTAGCACGTTGTAGCTTAATCGCAGTATCTTGTTAATTTTAATAAAAAATCTTTTATATCACGAATAGCTGGCCAAATACACTATATATATATATATATATATATATATATATATATATATATATATATATATATATATGTGTGTGTGTGTGTGTGTGTGTGTGTGTGTGTGTGTGTGTGTGTTGAGGTATGTTATATATATATATATATATATATATACGCGCGTGTGTGTGTGTATAGAAGAAGAAGAAGAAGAAGAAGAAGAAGAAGAAGAAGAAGAGAAAGAAGAAGAAAGTGAATTGCTGATATCCCCCTGAGGAGTGGACGGAGCGATTGCTTGAGGTTATACTGAAGATAACATCAATCAGGTAGGAGATACATTTCATATTTGTATTACACACACACACACACACACACACACACACACACACACACACACACATATATATATATATATGTGTGTGTGTGTGTGTGTGTGTGTGAATGTAAATATAATATAACGTACATATAGTGCTCGTGTTAATGAAACTGCTACTTGTAATATAACAGATCTATTAGTATATATTAATAAATATACGTATTAAACCTCACCGTGTGTGTGGAGACTATGTATATTTATTAACACACATAAACACACACACACATATATATATATATATATATATATATATATATATGTGTGTATGTGTGTGTGTGTGTGTGTGTGTGTGTATGTGTGATTGTATGTGTGCTTGTATGTATCCTAGAATAAGTATTGTATTCAGACACTGCAGCTGATATATCCTCAGATTTCGATAGATTCCTAATTAAGAAATCATTATTAAAAAATAAATAGATAAATAAATTTAAGAATGAAATGATGCAAACATTTATAAAAGCCTTAGCCAAAGTAAATATCTGTTTAAACGTTTCGCACAATTGATGGAAAAATCTTCTTCTATCTTCCACCTGCTTAAGCCCACTAGCTATTTCACGCGTTGCTTTCCATTGTCGCTCTTTCCCCTCTATCCGCCCTGTGAGTATCAGATTCTCCAAGCCCTCCTATATCCCCTGCCCTCTCCTTGCCTACACTGACATTCAGGTCACCGTGATAATTATGACGTCGTGTGAAGATAGCGACCCCATAGTCTATCAAGGGGAAAAGTAATGTCGAAAGTAATTAAAAGTAAAAAAAGAAAAAATAAATAAATTGTAGAATATTTCCAATTGCCTGAATTAATGAACTGATTGTACAATTAGTTTTAACGAAACTGTTCCCCAAATAGTTAGCATCGTTTAATGACCTTTGACCGATCAATTAACCAAGAGATTACGAAGGTCTAATCACCTTTAACCGTCTATATCTAAATGTCTAGTCAAATTTAACCAATAGTTTAACCAATTGGTTACGTATGTCTAATAAGCTGTAATCATTCGAAAAATTTTGCTATTTCCGAATCGAATCATGGCGTCAGAATGCTTAATGTTGACAGACGCCAGTCACTCAGTTGTTGAGCCAATCATTTCACATTAGCGGCGCCAGGGTAAGTTAATCAAACATTCAAGTTGACATGATGTTTTATTTTAACAAGAGAGAGAGGGAGGGAGGAAGGTCGAGAGAGAGAGAGAGAGAGAGAGAAGAGGAGGTCGATGATGCCAAACTGATTGTGGATCGAAATCTGCTATTTTGCCCTTTCGTTACTCTAAACTTGAGGTCAGTTTTATTTATTTGTCCATTGAAATACATCCTGCTCGCGATGGTAAAATCGAAAAAAATGTTCAAATTCTACTATACAAAATTTATCTTGCCGAATATTTCCCTGTTGTCTGTTTTGAATTGTCAAAATCCTTTGATAATGTACTTCAAACTAACATACTTTAACGAGTGAAATGTTTTCATGTATAACTTACAATAGATTTTAAGATTTTTTTGTTTATACGTTCTTTTTATAGATACAAATATTTAAGTAAATGTTCTATATATAATAAACAGTATTAACGACATTTACCGGCCTGAATGTCCGAGAAATTTTAATAGAAAATATGCGTCCTGTATACTATACGGAACCGTCATATAGCCTGACGTGCTTTTACCGATTGAGCCACAGAGGAGCGTTTCAGTTAGCAAGGTCAATTTTACTGTTTTTAAACTACAATTTTCCATGAGCATTTACTTAAATATTTGTATCTATAAAAAGAACGTATAAACATAAAAAAATGTCTTAAAATATTGTCGGACTTTGTCCATTTCATAATGTGTTACAATAGATTCTGTTGACTATGTAGAATTTCAGAAGCAAGCTGTGATTTTATTATGCAAAGAATTATTTGTCAGTTATGTGCCATGCGTGATACACGTTTAGGCGATCATATATCTTTCGATACATGACTGACGAGGCAGGTTCTTTTCCTGCTATAGATTGCCATTTCTTTCTGCGGTAGACCAGTTCCCATCCAAGGCTATCGAACCCGGCTTGTCAAGCTATTTACCCATAGCTGGTGGAGAAGGAGAGGATTCATACTTTTCCCAAAGGTATTAGTACGTAAGTGAATTCGAACTCGGCTCTCCGATTCCTCAATCCGAGCCGCTATCTATTACTCCACCGTACCTCTTCGATCACCGAGCTCTTATTTGTCTAGTTGAATATTTATTCATTTATTTACTTAATTCTTATGTAAACTTTAGTATAAGGAGTTGGTCAGACGAGGTCGGATATGAAGTCTGTTGCTATGGTAACGGAGCTAACCTACACAGATTGAGACAGTGTGACTTTGAACTCTGCTTCGCATGCGCACTGATTTATAACGTTTTTGCTATATACTGTTGTTTATAGTAGTGCATGAAAGGAAAGTGTGTAGAGTGTGGTCGTCTCACCACACCAGAGAGATCCCGTCAGTAACCATGGAAGAGAAAATTGACCAGAGGATCTGCATAAATTAAGTTTTGGCCAAGCATAACATTCCGCAGCTCGGACAACCATTATATTCCACAGATCTCGCTCCTTTCGACTTTTACCTCTTGCTAAAAATCAAGCTGATGGAAAGGAAAAAAACTTCAAGTTCTGGAGGAAATCCATTACGACGATGCAGCTGCTCGCTATCCCCAAAAATGTGTACCAGGGATGCTTCCATCAATTGCAACGACGCTGGATAAGTTGTATGGCTTCGGAACCTTTACCTTTTGAAAATTAGCATTTAAAATCGTAGCTTTTACTGGGAAAGAATTACTGGGTGGGGCAAAAGACCAATTATTTCAGCTACAAAGTTGAACGAGGAGTACATGACCAAAAGCTTGGTTACTACAAGTGCTTAGCTACTATCTTCTTTATCTGTCGTGTCACTTCAGAATGTAGGCGATGATGGCCCTCCACGTCTTCATGTAGCTCTTACTAAATTTCTTTCTTTTCCTATTTCTTCCAAACCCTGTTCTGCCATCCATTTACTCAAGCCCATCAAGTATGTTATGCGCTTTTTTCTTCTGTCCCTCTTGAACTCAATTTGTCCTGTGAGTATTAGATTTTCCAAGCCTTCCTTTCTCATTAAGTACCCCAGAAATTTCAACTACCTCTTCTTTCCTTTTTGTTTTCATTTTCGTTGCTCACATATTCGGTCTATGCTATCCCCGGCAACATTCTGGAGGAGCAGATTGCTTCAAGTCTCTTATCTTTGAGAAGATTGTCCAACATTCACTGCCAGAAGGACAAATATCACGTGACAGTTTAGTACTTTTTTTTTCCTAACGAATGTTAAAACCGTTATTCTGTGTGTGAGTGTGTGTTTGTCTATAAAACGTGGTCGAGTGTTTAAACAGTCAGTGTTCTGAACGGGAGATCCGAGATCGAATCACACCACGGCTGATTTTTCACTTCTTAATAATATCGGCCTGGGGAATCAATTTCTGCGGGTATTACTGTTGGGTAGAGACTAAAAACCACACCACATCGATAGTTCTGCTTATCACTAAGTCATCGTGACCGAAGGTTTCAGCGCATTGCCGGATTATACGTTATATCCCAGAAAACTGCCGGATTATACGCTCTATCACAGAAACTCTCACGTAAATCTCTGCAACACAGTTGCTGTATAAACCACCGGTTTTTACTGTGGGATGCTGAACAAACACAAATGCCTGAGCGAGCGTCTGTAATAGGGACTAGCTAGCCGCATTAGTAAACTTCATATTCTTCCGAGACTTACGGATATCTACTAGATTCTGTTAAGAAATCTGTCTGCCTTTTTTTCATCTGTGTAATTTTACTTTTTCGTTGTATTAATGGCAATGTTTTGAGTCAATACACTTTGATCGCATTTTGTCACGCTCTGCTGCGTGCGTGTCGACAGCCAAGCCATCATTCGTAGCCGTGACTTAAACGTTCTTACATCACTTGCTTGAACACGCACGGACGATTTTTTCCCGCCTTAGCCAACTCGTCACTCTCAATTTCCCCAACTCTTTCATTATCAATTTTACATACTTTCTTTTGCTTTCTCTGTCCTCCTTTTCATTTCTCTTTCACCTTCGACCTTTATGCCTTTCTTTCTCTTATTTATTCTCTTTCATATATATATATATATATATATATATATATATATATATATATATATATATATATATAATTCTACTCTTTTCGATACTGTTCATCTCGGTTTATTTTTTTTTCTTTTTCTGCCATACTGATTTTCTCAATTATTTTTCATTATCTATTTCTTTTCTTTCTTTCTTTCTTTCTTTCTTTCTTTCTTTCTTGCTTTCTTTCTTGCTTTCTTTATTTTCTTTTTTATTTCGTTCTCTCTCTGTTTTCTCTGTCTTTCCTTCTCTCTTACTTCTTCTTTCGCTCTACTTGTCTTTGTTTTTTTCCATTTTCCTTTTATTCTAGTCTCCCTTCTCTTTCTTTTTCCTTCTGTCTTTCTTTTGTGGTTGCTCTCGTTTCTTTTCATCTTTCTTTTTTGCTTTCGTTTCTTACTTTCTTACTTTCTTTCTTTCTTTCTTTCTTTCTTTCTTTCTTTCTTTCTTATTTGCTTTCGTTTCGTTTCGTTTCTTTCTGGTTTGCTTTCGTTTCGTTTCCTTCCATCCATTTTTTCTTTCTTTTTTGCCTTCATTTCTTTTCATCATTCTTTCTTTCTTTCTTTCTTTCTTTCTTTCTTTCTTTCTTTCTTTCTCAATATATGTTTCTTACTTTCTCTTTGTAGTTAGATTTTTTTATTTGTTTTGCTTTTGCCTGGTTTTTAAACTTAGGTTCACCAAAGCGAGAAAAAAAAAATCACGCCAGTTTTTCATTAGTTCCTTTATAGATTTATTTCCAGCAACACTATTTATTTTTTGTTTTTATTGCTGTTGTCTGTTTTTCAAGTGCTGACCTATTCGGATGAAGAGATCCCGAGCTTCGCCCTTTACAAAGGCGGCGATCAGATCAACATACACACATATCACGCGACAAAATCAACTGACAGACAATGAAACAATGTAAGTAAATAGAGAGATAAAATAAATGGATAAAAAAGGGAAGGTTAAACAATTGATGCAGACAATAAAAATATCCGAAAAAGGTGAAAAAGAAAAAAGAAAAAAAAATGTTTTTGTTAGGTTACAACCAGAATGTAATCGGAATATGGGATACAGCAGATTGTCTCTAAAAAATGTATACATGATTATCGCATTTGTTGACGACTGACATTACGATTTCATCTAAAAATCAATACCGATATTTCAGATACATGCACACAAATAAATATATGTGTATAGAGACATATATATATATATATATATATATATATATATATATATATATATATATATATATATATATATATATATATTTATGTTATATTGTTCTAAAGACTGCACTGAAGCGAGAAATTGACGGTCGCTATGCAGTGTTGATTCCAGTGTCCGAATATTCTTTAACTGTAAAAATTCTATTTCCGTTACTGACAAATCTTTCTCTATAAACATAGTGAATTTTAAACAATATCTATCTATCTATCTATCTATCTATCTATCTATCTATCTATCTATCTATCTAAGTCTGTCCCTATCTATCTATCTATCTATCTATCTATCTATCTATCTATCTATCTATCTATCTGTCTAAGTCTGTCCCTATCTATCTATCTATCTATCTATCTATCTATCTATCTATCTATCTATCTATCTATCTGCCTGTCTGTCTAAGTCTGTCCCTATCTATCTATCTATCTATCTATCTATCTATCTATCTATCTATCTGTCTAAGTCTGTATCTATCTATCTATCTATCTATCTATCTATCTATCTATCTATGTATTGTAACCAAGGGAAAGTTACTGAATAGAATAATCAAACGAAGGTTGATAATGAATGATAATACTTAGGACAAGAACAACACATATAAGATTCGCAAGCGGCACGTAGAAGAAGTCATCAACTGCTAGAAATGAGTCCAGTGAATTTCACAATGGATCTCCAACTGCAGGATATTTACCACCCGCCCTATATGATCAGCTGTGGCACAAGGTCGAAATTAATGTGTGGTTACCGAGCCCATAGGCTCGGCCAAAATTTGCCGGTAGACCTCGTATATAGCTGTTTTCCGAGACAAGACTGTGCCCTTCGACATACCCTCGTCTGAGGATCTACTCTGCCTGGAGGCAGAGAGTTTGACCAGCACAGCTCTAACTGCAGACCAACATACAGTATTTACTACTGTATTTATGTGAATGGGGACATACCCATTATCGTCCGTAGGTATGCTACACATTGTATATCTATGTTTGCATATACCACGATTCATATCTATCAGATTGAAGGCAATGGAGACAGAGAAAAACATCGGATGACATACAGGGTTTAGGAAAATAACAGAAAGACAAAGCAGGAAGTTGTGGGGAGCCATGATGGCCTACTTCCTTGGGGACACAGTACATAAAGGAGATGTTTCTCATTTTCAGATGCCCCGTATTTGCTGTAGCTGGGTTATACTGAGAGTTGTTTTAGTCCGAGAAAACTATAAAAAGAATGCATGGGCAGCAGTAAAAAGATGAGAGCGAAATGCAATTTTCCACGTCGGGGACACTAGAATAAAGCAGGTGAGGAAATTTAAGTATATGGGAAGTGTTCTGACAGAGGACGTGTTAGAGAAGCTCTGAGACCTGAAGACGTACTGGGATGGCCAAAGACGCATTCCAAAAGCTAGGCAGTGTATTACGAGACAGAAGGGTGATATATGTTCTCCTTTACGGCAGCGAATGTTGGACGGTCTCCTCAAAGATGAAGAAGAGACTCGAGGCAATGGAGTTATGGTTGTACAGAAGAATGCTAAGGATACCGTGGACCGAACATGTGAGCAACGATGAGGTTTTGGAGAGGATGCAAACAAGGAGGAAGCTTATATATATATATATATATATATATATATATATATATATATATATATATATATATATTACAGTTTAAAGGTTTCATGCCACCCATGGTAATTTTTTTTTGACCTGAAAAATAGTTGTTTTGTACTTTAAATAGGATAAAATTATTATACTTGGTTGAAAAAAACAGTGAGACATGATTTTTTTTTATTCGAAATTTTACTATGACAAAAAGAAAAAAATCATTTTATGATTAAATTTTGTCCTCGTCAAAATATTCTCCTTTAGCCTTGATTACTGCAGCACAAATTTTTGGTATCCGTTGCAAAAGTTTGATAATTGATTCCATTATTTTTTCAATGACTCTAGAAGCTGTCTATATTTCTGAGATGAGGTATTATGTACACTATTTACATTATTCGGACTATCGTCCTCATCTTTGTTGCCATATTTATCACAACGTTTCGGCCGTTGTACGCTCCAGCCTTCTTCAGGTGGTTGGAATGTCGAACTGAAGCCTTTATTTCGCTCACTGGGGTAGACTGTTCTAGTTCCACGTGCCATGTTTAATGGATGTCAGTTATTTAAATATCTAGGTGAATTTTGGGATACTCTCTCTCTCTCTCTCTCTCTATATATATATATATATATATACATTTATATATATATATATGGCATCAAATGACAACTGGAAAAAAATCTTACATTTTGCCGACGCGTTTCGTCTTCCGACTTTTTCAAGGCAAAAATGAAATCGAAATGTTTTTGTTGTTATATTTACATTTAAAATCCAAATTTAAAAAGATAGACGCTTCTGTTTTTTTTCTGGTTAATGAAAATTACCTTTATAGTGAGGGATTATTATTATTTTTTTTTTTTTCCTTGTCGATAATATAGTTAAATTCCCAGAATCTGGGAATTTAACTATATATATATATATATATATATATATATATATATATATATATATATATATATATAGAGTATCCCAAAAATTCACCTAGGTGTTTAAAATGTCATAACGTGTCATATTTTTGATAATTTTATTTTTATTTTTTTCAGAATTTAGATTAACATATGAAAATTATCCGCGAAAAAATTCCTAATTGAACAAAGAACGAAAAATCTTCGAAATTATTTCCAATTTAATTAATTTTTGCTTACTGGATAACTTCGTAAAATTTCGAAATTTTATCGCCTTCACATTCTCCTGATCAAACACCACCCGATTATTTTATTTGGGGTAGATACTCTAAGGAAGGATGCACCAATAAACCACAGACAATTCAGCACCTCAAGGATAACATCTATAGCCAAACCCGAGGATTGCAACCTGAGTTATGAAACACTGTTATAGAAAAAGGTACAGAAAGAACGCGCATGCATGACTCAGAAAATGGTAGTTATTAACATCGCATCATTTTTTTTATTATTACTAAACGGGAACAGATTTCCAGTGTTTGAATTTTTATTTTGCATAAACCCATTTTTGAATAATAAAAATATGTTGAAATTAATGGAGTTTTAAATCCCGAGGTGACTTCTGGAACACCATATATATATATATATATATATATATATATATATATATATATATATATATATATATATATATATATATATAAAAATCACTTTAGACATTATTTTTAAGCGCCCCGTGGGCAAAAAATTGAATAAATATAGTGTTTAATAAATAAACGGCGTTAATACACAAATACGAGTTTTCACCAAAAATCACTTTTAAAGTGATAAAAAATCTATCGGCTTAATAATAATAATCATATATATATATATATATATATATATATATATATATATATATATATATATATATATATATATATATATATATATATATATATTATAATAAAGAGAAAGAACAGTTAGATATATAATCGGTGTTCTTATTAATATTTTTATTTTTACAAAAGAGTGCTCAATGCAAATATACAGACATATATATATATATATATATATATATGTATATATATATGCATATTTCATATATATATGTATATATATATATTTTATTTTTTACAAAAGAGTGCTCAATGCAAATATACAGAGCATAATATATATATATATATATATATATATATATATATATATATATATATATATATATATATATATATATATTTGCATGTTTCCTTAAAAAACGACAGACAAGGTACTAAGATTAGCTTTTTATTTAATTTTTCTTGTGTCCAAACAAGAGCTTTCTTTTCTAGACAAAGGGTGTGTAAGAACTGTCCAAATGTTTTATATTTCCGAGCGCTTTCGACTATACCTTTAGCCATTATCAAGGATGATTCAGTTTGGAACTATAAAACATTTGGAAAAGAAAGCTTTTGTTCGAACGCAAGAAAAATTAAATAAAAAGCTTAACCGTAGTACCTTTTCTATCGTTTTTAATGAAACATGCATAAGCCAAGGATTGCTGCCTATATATATATATATATATATATAATATATATATAGATATACATATATATATATTTATATATATATGTATATAATATATATATATAATATATATATAATATAGATATATATATATATATATATATATATAATATATATATATATATATATATATATATATATATATATATATATATATATATATATATAATAATCGGTTGGAAAAATCTCGGATAGGGCAACTTGTAAGTCTATCAATCAAATTGATACCGAGAAAAACTTGGACAATAAAAGATAGAACTAGAAACATCCGAACAGGGCGAAATAAATCGTCCAATGTATTAAGTTTTTCAGTCGAAGAAAAAAACCAAACGGATATTCAGGGTAAGCTGTTCCGTTTAGGTGAAACCTAAGTAGATTGTTCCTGGCTCTTTAGGATTTATCCTATTTAGCCCTGCACAACTTAGCGTATTTTCACCTAAACGGATATTAGCTTTATTACTGCTTGGGTTTTTTTTTTTTTCGACTAAAAACTTAATAATATTGACGATTTATATTTTATATATATATATATATATATATATATATATATGTGTGTGTGTGTGTGTGTGTGAGTGGAGAGAGAGAGAGAGAGAGAGAAGTTGAGAGAGATGTCCTGAAGATGGCGTTCAAGCATGAAACTTTGATTTTTCGCCACTCGGTGTTGATCTCCGTGTCGCCTTTCATATTTACACACGCTATATCCCCGGTACTAAGCATTTTTATTGATAAATGTAGCATACCTTAAAACTATATATATATATATATATATATATATATATATGGCACTCTTATTACCAAACTAAGCTAATTTGTGTAACTGCTATACCTGTCACTAAGGCAAGAAATACCTTTGAACTAAAATACATTTTTAATTATTTTGAATTTAAAACCGACGGCAAACGCGAAAAAAATAAAATCGAATGAAACAATCAGAAGAAAAGCAGGAATAATTTATATGCAACGGTCAGCCATGGCTATAATGGTCGCAGTAGTCGAGCGAAAAAGACAAAATCGAACTCATTGGCTAAAAAAAAAAAATTAATAATGAATAAATAATTGCCCCCAGTGTTAGCTATCATGGCGTCGAGTGGCTGACAAGTTGTCGTCTGCTTAATGGGAGTAATGAGGTTGTTTTTTTATATTAATTATTCATTTAGAAATCAGAAACTAATGGGTAGGCAAATGTTTACTGGTCAGTGGCTGTGATCAGCGTGTGAGTTGGCTTTCTATGGGGAGTTGGGCAAGAACAGAAATAAATCATTATGGCAGTGATACTCTTTACACACTAAATCCATCATTAACACAAGCGCTAGGAGATGCAAGGCCTGCTAAGAAAAGTACGTAAAAAATAGTGACAACAGTACAATGGATGTTATCCCTCTCCTCCATTGCTAATTCAACGTTGGTACTGCTCGACCCTTCAAGCCAACACACTGTATAACATACACTACATTCCAAGGATTTTCGTAGTAATAAAAAAAAGACCAAATTATTGATAGAACGACATTACCTAAGCCAGAAAATACCGCTATCGAACCGCTGACGACTGACGCCACATCGTTTAGTGAGACGCATCACGTTTTCCTGCTCTTTTGGAGAGAGGGTTGAATTCATGTACGGAGGATATCCCATTCTAAATGCTAAACAGAGTGTACTAAGAAATGGAAAAAAAAACATCGCTAGAAATAAAGAAAAGAGTATTAAACTGCTACATGATGCCAATCCGCATGTATGGCAGTGAGTGCTGGACAATTCTCTCAAAGATGAAGAAGAGACTTGAAACAATAGAAATGTGGATCTACTGAAGAATACTGAGGATACCATGGGCCGAACATGTGAGTAACAGTATGCAGGAGCAACATCCTGTTAAGAGATATTTGTTTTCGAAGCTCTTTTGGAGAGTTCTGGTACCAAAATCAATATGATCAAGGCGTTGTCACCTGGGACACAGAAAGAAAGCTACAAAATTTCCTACGGAAGCAAGTGAAAGAAAAAGAGAAGAAAGGTTTATAGATCAACAGAAAGAAGACAAAAATGCCTGGTTGTTAGCAAAATGATGAGCCTAAAGTGCGAATTGCAAATCAGCGATACCAAAATCAAACAAGTGCTTAAATTTAGATATCTGGGAAGAATTCTAACAGAGAACAGAAAATGCGACACTAAGATCCGAAGGCATCCGAAGGCATCCGAAGGCATCCGAAGGCGTATTGGAATAGACAAGGAAGCATTTCAAAAGATAATCAGAGTACAAAGAATTAGAAAAGTTTCGCTAGAAACAAGGAAAAGAGTATTAAACTGCTACATAATAACTGTCCTCGTGTATAGCAGTTAGTGCTGGATGATTTCCCCAAAGATGAAGAGGCTTGAAGAAATAGAAATATAGCTCTACAGAATGCCGCTGAGGATACCATGGACCGAACATGTGAGTAACGATGAAGTTTTGGAGCTTGGAAGAATTTTCTTGTCTTTTTTTCTTTTTTTTTACTTCTGTTATCTCGTATGCCATATTGTTGCGATGATCGGTGATACAATATATCTTGTTCTGGTCTTAGTTTTATGGGATTCACAAAGAATTCTTTTAAGAAAATGCATTAAGAGCGCGCTAATCACACAATTCTCGGTAATAAACCTAATACCAGGACCTTACATAGTATCAGGTTGCTTCTTTTTAACTCGAATGTGACAGTTTCAAATTCTAGCCGAGACTATTACATTTAAATGTTGAGAAAGTTATGAGTCCAAAGTGTGAATTGTAAATCAGAGATACCAAAATCAAACAAGTGAGGAAATTTAAATATCAGGGAAGTGTTTTAACAGAGAGCGGAAGTTGTGAATCCAAAGGCATATTGGGATAGACAAGAAAACATTCCAAAAGCAGAGGACAAAGAAATAGGAAAATTTTGCTAGAAACAAGGAAAAGGGTATTAAACTAATAAATAAATAAAATTTGCCGAATTTGTATAATGTGTTAATGTTCTTTTATTTAAACATTCCATTAATATATATGGGAGAGAGAGAGAGAGAAAAAGAGAAAGCATTGTATGCAAAACTATTTGAGGTTTATCAATCTGTAAGGCTATAAAAAAAAATTCTAAACAGTTTGACATACCCTGTTTTATCCATAGTTCATAAACTGAAAGAAATTGATACGGTACAAACGCTTGGAAGATCGAGTCATACAAGGAAAGAATTTCAGCCTGAGAGGGGACTAAAATCACACGGAAAGTTTTATTCAATTCAAATCGGACTTAAAGGAGAGATTCTCTATCGCCTGACCTTAATCCGATTAAGCTTTTGTGACATAAATTTAAAAAAAATTAATAATACTATTCTTAAATGGAAGAGTGAACGATTTGGGGCATTTCTCTATAAAAGAATTGCTGAAAATACCAATTGAGACATACTGAAGCCTTATCGAAAACGTCCATTAACAAGAATCGGTATTAAATAGTAGAAATGTAAGTATGAGTTATGTGGGCTGAATACTTGTACAAAAAATCATTATAATAAAATGCTGTTATGAAAATGACTGACATTAATTATCTGTTATGTCTTAGAAATAGATTTACTAACGCTAATTGGGACGACTAATGTTCAAATCAAATTCGGCATGATTATATACGGAAAGAGGGTCATAAGGCAAAGAAGTGTCTTCTCGCCGGACTTATTCAACCTATACAGGGGCACCTCGGTGTGGTGTAATGGTTAGCAAGCTTGTCTTGCTAGAACATATTACGACTGAGTAGTGAGTTCGATCCTCAGTGGGTGCTCCATACTTCCGGCCTTGTGCCACATCTAAGCAGCGCTTAGAAAATCATTTGGACACCTCGAGGTGGTGTAATGGTTAGCAAGCTTGTCTCTCTAGAACAATTACGACTGAGTAGTGAGTTCGATCCTCATTGGGTGCCCCATACTTTCGGCCTTGTGCCACATCTAAGCTACACTTGGAAAATCACTATTCAACCTACACAGCGAGGCAGTTCTGAGAGAATTGGAAACTCTACCCGGATTCAGCATTGGCGGCTATAATCTTAACGACATAAGATACGCAGATGACATAGTGCTGATAGCAAACACGGAAAAGAAATTACAAAACCTCCTGCAGAAGGAGAGCGAGATGAAGGGGCTAAGTATAAACTACAAGAAGACAGAATGCATGATCATCAGTAAAAAGATGAGGTCCGAAATGCGGTTTGCTGGTCGGGAACACTCGAATCAAGCAGACGCGGAAGTTTAAATATCTGGGAAGTGTTTTAACCGAGGACGGTAAGTGCGACGCTGAGATCCGAAGACGTATTGAGATGGCTAAGAACACATTCCAAAAGCTGAGCAGAGTATTGCGAGACAGCAGGATTTATTTGGTAACAAATAAAGGAGTATTGAGCTGCTACGTGATATCTGTCCTCCTTTGCGGCAGCGAATGTTGGGTAGTCTCCTCTGAGATGAAGAAGAGACTCGAGGCAATGAAGGATGATAAGGATACCCTGAACCGAACATGTGAGCAACGATGAGGTTTTGGAGAGGATGCAAATAAGGAGGAAGCTTATAATTAATATCAGGAAAAGGCAGCTGAAATTTCTGGGACACGTAATAAGAAAGGAAGGCCTGGAGAATCTGATACTCACGGGTCGAATATAGGGAAAGCGACACAAAGGACAGCAACGTGTGACATACCTGGCAGGCTTAACCAAGTGGATGACTAAAAGTGATCTGGGGGAGGTGACAGAGGTACGAAACTTACTGAGAGCTACAAGGGATAGGGAGGAAGTGGAGAGCCATGATCGTCTACGTCCTGAAGGGACACGGCACATAAAAAGAAAGAAAAGATGGAGGCTTTGAATACTTTTGAATACGACTGTATATATTTTTTATCCCTGTTTAGTGCAAATATAAAATCTGAAAACTATGTTCTTTTTATTGTTATACGTTTCTTTATTTATCAAAGAAGAATATATAAAAATAATTCTCCCAAACAGTAATTATTTAAAAGCCTATTTTGTGAACCATATCAGGACGATTTGTGTATATCAGGATAAACTCCCATGGGGCATGTTCTCTCATAGAAATGAAACCATGAATTTCTTTCCGCTAAAGAACGAAGGGAATTAAATTTGGCGCCCTCAACGGGCTGGTCGTCTGCTTATTTGGAAAAATATTTTAATATACATTAATCGTCTGCTACTGATTCAATGATGGATAAGTTGTTTTTATTTCTATTCTCCACATAATTTAAAACGACGAAATAATTATTAAAATGAATAGGAAGTCAGCGTGGAAAATAAAAAGAGAAAAGAAAAAAAGTTCGTTGTACAATTTTGGAAAATTTCAAATAGGTGTAAATATTTGTACGAAAAGAGCAAACAAGATACAGAAAATTATTTTGGGTGGGGAAATATTTCGCTTAAAATGGTTAATACATCCATAATTTTGTAATCAATAAAAAGCAATATTAATGAATTAAATTGAAATTACAGATGAGAAAAAACCCGTGACCAAAAATCGTGACATAGTTTTTTGGGGGGCAAGAAAATATGAGAAAAAAATGGAATGAAAAAGGAATAATAAAAACGAAAAAGCAAGCAATCGTTTTAAAAAGGTGGAACTTTTTTTCGGGACGGAATGTTTTAAAATTAAAAAGAAAATTGTGCATTTTGATTAATTTTGAATCAAAATTAATGAAAGAGGTTTGTTTTTCATGTTGGGTTGAGAACAAGATGAAAGTTGAAGGAAATGTATAAATACGTGGGTTGGGAAGTGTGTTGAAGTGTGTCGGGTGAAAATAGAACGTCAGTGAATATGGATTAACATGTATTGTGTTTGGGGTACGAAAATTGTGTTGGAAATTTGATTGAAAACAGATATTTGAATATAGGAAGGGAAATTGAAGGAAATAAACGCAAATTTAAAAATAAGCGAATATACTGTGTCATAAATTATGCCTTTGGGTATGATTAATATCAATATGTAACTATCGATCGAGAAATAGATACATCGTATCAAACTGAGATAGATAGATAGACAGATAGATAGATAGATAGATAGATAGATAGATAGATCTGAAAAGACTGAGATGGATAAATCGACACACATAGATAGATAGATAGATAGATAGATAGATATGAACAGACTGAGATCGATATGAAGGTAGATAGATATGGACAGATAGACAGAAAGATAGATATGAAAAGATTGAGATAATATATATATACATATATATATATATATATATATATATATATAGAGAGAGAGAGAGAGAGAGAAAGAGAGAGTGAGAGAGAGGGGGAGATAGATAGATAGATAGATAGATAGATAGATAGATATGAACAGACTGAGATAGATATAAGCAGACTGAGATAGATATAAAGGTAGACAGATATCAACAAACTGAGATAGATAGATAGATAGATAGATAGATAGATAGATAGATAGATAGATAGATAGATATGAACTTAGATAAATCGATAGACAGACAGACAGAATGAACATAGCTAGATATGAACTCACTGACTGAGATAGATAGATAGATAGATAGATAGATAGATAGATAGATAGATAGATAGATAGATAGATAGATAGAGATAGATAGATAGATAGATGCATGACCAAACTGAGCACTTCGAGCCGGTGTAATGGTCAGCGTGCTTGACTCACTAGATCAATTACGACTGAATAGTGAATTCCACCTTCCCTGGGTGTTACACACCTTAGGCCTTATGTCACATCTAAGCTATGGTAGTAAATCATTTTCAGCCACTTCAAAGTGGTATAATGGCTATCAGTCTTTTCTTGCTAGATAAATTAGGACTGAGTAGGGAGTTCGATCCCCACTACTTTCGGTTACGCTTAGAAAATCAACATACACACATATTAATAAACAAAGAGATATGTATAAAGTGAAATAGATATGGACAGACTGAGATAGATAGATAGATAGATAGATAGATAGATAGATAGATAGATAGATAGATAGATAGATAGATAGATATGAATTGTCATTGATATAAACCTATGTAAATAGATACATAGATATGAACAGACTGGAATAGACAGCAACAAAGTAAGATAAATAGATATATAGTCTGGTTATATCTATCTATCTATCTATCTATCTATCTATCTATCTATCTATCTATCTATCTATCTATCTATCTCAGATGTTAATGTATACAAATACATCAATCACATTCATATTCACCCATATGCGAATTCACCCATATATATATATATATATATATATATATATATATATATATATATATATATATATATATATATATATATATATATATATATATATATATATATATATATATTTGATTTGGAAAGTAGAAACCTATGCAGTTTCTACTCCTTTAATATCGGAAAAATAATCTTAATTATACATGATCACATAGCTCCCGCTTACGCATCTATACACCAAGTGATGTCTTCATCTACACACACGCATACACACACACTGCCATATTCTCGTCTACGTATATTTACACACGAATATACAGTCGGTGACGGTGGCTCGTGCTTGTGCGTGCGTTCACAACGAAAAAGCCGAACCCTGCAGAGGAGAAAGAAACAATGCGAGAAGTCGAGAGAGAACGAGAGGAGGCTTAAGAGAACGAGAGGAAACGAGAGCTGACGAAATACCGTGAACTCGAAATATCGCCTTTCTTTCTTAACAGCAATTTATTTTAAAAGCAGGACAATATATCAAATCGATACAAGATCGCTCATTATTATTCTTATTATTATTATTATCACTTTGTTTGTTAATGTTTTAAATTTTATTTTTCTTCAGATTTTTGCCATGTTTTATATTTTTAAAACGTTATCTTTACTTTTCATTCATTGTTATTTTGTTAGTTTTTAAAACTATTTTTCATTATTCCTTTCATTTATTATTATTATTATTATTATTGCTTGTCTCTTGTTTGGAAAGAGGGGTAGAGGTAGCGGAGGGGAGGTTTTGCTCAGTTTTACGCTTTGGCAGGCTTTTACAGGCATTTTAGATGTTCTTTATAATTTTTATTTATGTATTTATTTATTTAGTTATTTTTTTTTCGGTTCATTTTGAAGCTCGGGTTCCTCACGGTTCTTTTGTTTTAAATGACTTCGGAAACGAATTGATAGCGAGACTGAGAGGTTAACAATCGGCTCTCCTCTTCCTCTGCCTACTTCTCTCCGTTGCTTCCTTCCACCTTCGACTTGAATCAATTCCTCTGCTTTTCTCCCTCTTCCTCCCGTTCTAGCCATCTTTCTTTTATTTTCTTCTTGGCGCTCTCCTTCTTTTCTCCTTCTCATTTCTATATTTCTCTTGCTTTTTCTTTTTTTTTTTTTATTAATATGTTCTCACTCTTCTGTTTCTCTCCTACTTCGTCAGCATTTGACATTTCCTACGATTCAGCTGGGGTGTAATGGTTAACGACTCTGAATGATAAATCAGAGAGCGGAGTTCGAATTCCAGTCGAGTTCGTTACATTCGCATACACGCAAATACTCCTGGGAAAGGTATGCATCCAACTCTTTTCCCCTCAAACTATGGGTTAAATAGAAGCCTTGGTTGGTAATCAGTCTACCGCAGAAAGTAACGGTAAACTACTAAGGTTATTCTTTTGTCAAGTCAGTTATGAATCGAAAAGAGACATGATCAACCAAACCTTCATCACAGGTTGCACTTAAGGGAGGAAGGTTGGCCGATAGAGGCTTAATCAGGAAAGGGTGTCAAGAAGATGGTGTAGCGTCAGACTTTCAAATAGATAAGCATTCGAAATTCTAGTTTTGTCTGGGTTAAAAAAACAAACGTCTAACACAGGTTAGAACTGTTTCAGCCATCAGGCAAGACTCATCGAATTAAGTAACTTTTTTTTACTTCCAATTTTTCTTTCTCTTTTCTTTGCATTACTTTCTCTTCTTTCTTTCTTTCTTACTACCTTTTTTATTTAGTCTTTCTTTTCTTCCTTTTTTGTTTACTTCAATTCTTTTCGTTTTTTCTTCTTTCATCCTTAATTGTTCCTTTCGTTTCTTTATCATTTATTTTCTTTCTTTCTTTCTTTCTTTCTTTCTTTCTTTCTTTCCATCTTTTTCACTTAGTCTTTCTTTTTCTTTCTTTTCATCATTTTTTGTTAACTTTAGTTCTTTCTTTTTTTTGTTCTTTTCATTCTACATGATTCCTTTCGTCCCTTTTTTATTTTATTCTTTCTTTCTTTCTTTCTTTCTTTCTTTCTGTTGTCCCCTTCTCTCATTTTCTGAATATTTTCCTTCTCTCTTTCATGTATATCCCAAAAATTCCTTTATTTCATTAATCTCAGATTTATTCTGTAATTACAAACGATACGTCAACTGAATTTAATAACGAAATACATTCTTTATGTTTAATTAAATTTTATGATTATTAATTGTATTTGCTATTAGCTAAACTTATATTTTCCAATCAAATACCCTTGAGAAAGTTATGAATCCACCGTTTATCCTCCCAGCTATGGGTTAATTAGTAGAACATGTATCAGTAAAATCATTAGTATCTCTAAAAGCCTCACAGTTTAAAAGTTTGATAAGCCGTAAAAAAATAAAATCAATCAATGAGTCTTTTTAATTTTAGAATAAAACCTATTTATGTCTACCTTTTTGAACTCGATTGTAAACTGAGCCGACACTGACATTTTTGACTCTAGTGTAAACTATACTTATGTTTACGTCTCTATTAATTCATTGTCATTTTTTATCCAATTGGACGCGTATTTTTGAACAAGTGCTGATATGCTGTCAGATTAACCAACAAGAAGCCGGAGATTCAGATGCGATCTTAATTTGAATAAACCTTATGCTAAGTAGTTCATTGCTGTAATCACTGACTTGGCAGCGTCACGTGAAGCTGCAAAAAAAGTTTTCTTTGAAAATGAAGAAAAACAGCATATCACGAAAGGCAATTTCGTAGTGGCTTACGGAAGTCTAAAGTAACTTAGACGTTGGCCAGAAATATATAGAAAAATAATTAAAACATTTTTAACAATTAACTTTCAGCGGTTTTTAATCTAACTTGTATAAATGAAAATTTGATACTAAATACGCCCATATATATATATATATATATATATATATATATATATATATATATATATATATATATATATGCTGTTCGATAAAAGTGACTCACCTGATTTTTTTTACTAAATATTCTCTTCTCCGATGAAACGAAAGTTGAGCTAAATTCAAAGGATAAGCGATCTAAAATCAGAAGAAGCTTTGAAAGCTTTTTGAATTTAGCAGTAAGTACTGTCAAGAATCCGTTCAGTATAATGTTCTGGGGATGCTTTTCTTTTCATGGAACTGGTTTCTTAAAACCTATTGAAAAGACCCTCAGGAGTGAGCAGTAGAAGAGAATTTTAGAGTCTTGTCTGCTCCCTTCTGCTGAAAGGGTGCAAATCGACCCCACCAAGCTCATTTTTATGCAGGATAATGTTACCTGTCACAAATCAAAATTGATGAAGGAATACTTTGATGAGAAGCAGGTGAGTGTTATGACATGGCCGCCCCAATCTTCTGACCTCAATCCCATAGAAAACTTATGGAGTATTATAAAGTACAAGCTTTCGAGACATTTATCGAACAGCATATATATATATATATATATATATATATATATATATATATATATATATATATATATATATATATATATATATATATATATATATATATATATATATATGAAAAAATTCATATAAGATTTAGGGAACTCAGATCTTTTTCCTTTTTAATTCTTTTCATTAATTTATCTTATTGTCATTCAAAATAATGTCACATTTTTTTTAATTTAACTGCTGTCTAATAACAATAAATTGGTTCATATGCCATTAGACAAGATTTTCGTTCTAGATTTTATAAATTTAAGCACAGTACTAGATTAACGGCAAGGTCCCATCATTTTTAAAGTTGAAATGTAACCGTAAGTTCTATGCTAACAGTTTCTTCTGCTGCACTTCTCGCTTGTGAGACTCTCATCTGATTTCTTTTTCCAATTCAACTTTGATCGTCAAAAATTTAAATGCCCTGCCAATCGTTATCGTGTCTTTTTAGTTATTGTTCCTTTTTTGTCTTATCTCCTTAATAGTAGTTTTTTTTCCTCATATTCTCTAATACTTGGTAACACCCCTCTTGCGTCATAGTGGCTTTATTACCTTGCTTAGGGTGCAAGGATTAAAAAAATATATCTGTCTTCATTTTTTTAAATTCTCTTTTAAATAATGAGGAAATTTCAATTTTTGACTTTAATTAAACTTCTCTTATCAATAAATCATTCTTCTATCCTTTAATTAGCTTTAAAATTTACAATCTGTACAGAGCCTTCTCTCGTGACGTAGCTCTAAACAGATCTGACTATAGCTGTTGTGACTACCCAATCCTCACAAAAACAGATATTTTAATTGTTTAAATATGACGCACGCCCAAACCCCTGAACTTTTGTACGACATTCTAACTACTACAATAACATTTTACACAAAAAGTATGGTACATTTAACCTAACAGACCTATGCATCTTTTTGTTTCCAGCTTAATGTTCCAGCCACTAAGCAGGCATCGAAGACAGAGACCTTAATTCGCGCTGATAAACACAAAAGAAAAACAAATGAACAGGGCGCATGCGTATAAAATACTTCCGTCGGTTTCATGGCTTGGCAGACATTTTTTTTTTTTATTGTTAGATAAAATATAATTATATGAAAGATATAATTTGGATTTATGTCTGATGTGAGATGATCTATTCTGTAAATAAGTATCGATTGAAAGAAATTAATTGAAAGCTTTCCGGTATATCGAAAAAAAGGCAGAGAAAAGTAAACTCTCCCCATACAACTGATGTAGTCTTTATGAAAGATGCACTTAACAGGGGGATATAAAAATGTATATAAAGAGAAAGCGGTGAGTAAACATTTTTACGTGCATTCCTCTTCAGGATATGAACAGAGCGAGATAAAGAAGAAGAAGAAGAAGAAGAAGAAGAAGAAGAAGAAGAAGAAGAAGAAGAAGAAGAAGAAAAGATAGAAATAGGGATATCGAGAAATAGGGGAGAGAGAGGGGAGAGGGGAGGGAGAGATTAAGAAAAATAAAACAGATACCAAGAGAAAGAGGGTGAAATCTGTTGAGACAGGAACATATTTAGAGAGAAAGATATATATATATATATATATATATATATATATATATATATATATATAGAGAGAGAGAGAGAGAGAGAAGTAGAGAAAGAGGGAGAGAGAAAGAGTGGGAGACTGAGAAAGAGAGGGAGATAGATAACAAAAAATAAAACAGAGACACCGAGAAAGAGGGAGAAATATGCAGATTGAGATAGTATAAAAGAGATAGAAAAAAATTAGATGGAGAAAAGGAGAGAGATTGAGAAAGAGGGAGACGGCGAGAGTTTGGTAATAAATAATGCCTAATAATATCTGTTTTGACTGATAATGTTCAGCAAATGAACATTTTATATAAAATGGTATATGTGTACTTATTTATGAGCAATAAGTTACACACATAAAGGAGATGAGAGAGAAAGAGAGTGTGTGTGTGTGTGAGAGAGAGAAAGAGAGAGAGAGAGAGTGTGTGTATCTGTGTGTGTGTGTGTGAGAGAGAGAGAGATAGAGAGAGATAGGGGGGAACCAGATAGACAGCCCAATTGAATTAGACAAATATGCAGAGAAATGAATTGCATATAAGACAGGAGGGAAGGGTTAATTAAGAGATTGAGATAGACATGAACAGATAGATAGATAGATAGATAGATAGATAGATAGATAGATAGATAGATAGATAGATAGATAGATACGTGATAGCTATCAAAGCCATCATGCATCTATCTATCTATCTATCTATCTATCTAAAACGAGTTAGAGATAAATAATGATAGGTAAATATAGGGACAGAATGAGGACAGATAGATATGAACATACTAATAGATAGGTAGATAGATATGGACGGAATATGAACAAACTGAAATAGTCAGACACTCAAATAGATAGATAGATAAATAGATAGATATGAAAAGAATGACATATATATATATATATATATATATATATAGAGAGAGAGAGAGAGAGAGAATATATATATATATATATATATATATATATATATATATATATATATATAGAGAGAGAGAGAGAGAGAGAGAGAAAGATATAGAGACAGACATCAACGGAATTATATATATATAGAGATAGATAGATAGATAGATAGATAGATAGATAGATAGATAGATAGATAGATAGATAGATAGATAGATATGTCACTTTCCTTCAGTAAATAATTATCATAATCTCATTTCTCTGTTCAATTCTCGAAATCTTTATCAAGTTGTCAACCTACCACCATTGGTGGCCATTGGGTAACCTGC